AACCTGGTGTTTTCGAGATAAGATTCTACAGCAGTGCAGGCACATACAAAACACTTGCACATAAAGGTGGTTTGAAAGCACCATATGACATATCCCAACCTGGAACCTAGTACTGATCTGTTCTCAATACTGCAAAACTTCAACAGATTGGTGTATAAGTACTAAGAAATAATCGTAAACTCGTAGTTGCTGCTGACATAGAAAGTAAAGTAAGCAAATAACACCGAATAAACTGCAGCGTAAATACTACGTCAAAGTAAACATGCGCGACTCGAACCGATGCTCCTGTACAAGATTAGTGTACATGTCCCATTGACACTGATTTTGCATAAGATACATCACTAGTATCACTCGATTTCTATGCTCCCCCCCCCCATCTTCACTGATTTTCATTTTCACACACAATGCTGCCCTCCAACACAACATGGATATTGAGAACACCATACTTGGGAGTCGTGTACTACTATTGGTGTCTTCACTAGTGGGCCACCCGTGGATTTTGTTTAATGACCTGGATATGCTGACAATCCTAGACTGGGAGATGTTTACAACCTTAGAACTGTCTCATGTTCATGCCTCCAGGCTGTCCTCTTACTTAACTTTTCTGGAGATAAGATTCTAAGATTTGAGCACCAAGTACATTCTTCTATCCGTCTGTGTCTCAACTAATTGATTTTCTGTACTATGCAGTTAATACAGGTATACAAGTGACCTCTATGGTTGGTAACATTGCTTTGAGGGTTAGCCTAGGCAGTAGCATATCTGAGGATGATGCAGTTCATTTTTTTCTGATGGACTTGTTCATACATGGTCTATTCCTTGCTAAACTGGTCAAGAATGACTATATTGTTGCTGGCCTTGGCTCCAGGAAGGAAATGCAGTGAGGCACAGGTGTTATCCTGTGTTTGGGTGTTTTGTATGGAATTTATTTTCACTGATTTTTGACAAGTTGAATGTAAAATACAGGAAACAAGGTATATTCGCTGGGTTTTATTTTCACTGAATTATTCCTGCAGCAAAAATGAAGTATTTTACAGTATTTCATTGTTAGTTCACTACAATACAAGATATTCTTGTAATGTTCTACTAAGTAAACACATACTGGCATAATAAGACTTCAAAGTCTTGAAACAATCAGGCATCCTAGCAATTCCTTGTCCTTGCACAGATCATGCAACCATAAATTGTAACCATGGTGAGACAGACACTTCAAGAATAACAATAATCTTAACAGTTAGCACATTTCTCAATAAAATAAAGATACAAATTCAATATTTGATTATATTCAATCAAGACTGCTGTCAGTGGTGAACTACATGGGATTGAAAAGTGCTTAGTTGCATAACCCAAACTGATGAAAAAAAAAAAGTGCTCGTTTATTTTGTGAAAGTTGGGTTACGAAAACTGTCCTTTTTCAAAATTTTAGTTTCCAATTCTTAGTATGTCTTGTTTTATCATTCACTTGATAAAAACGCATAATTAATGTGACGATAGACAAACGGCCAGTAGGGTCTTGTCGAGAAAAGGAAAATTGCCAATTCTGAATCTGCATCCATAATTTGGAATGTGTGACCATATTTCAATCCCAAATACACCTCTGAAAACAGCATTGCAGAACACAGAACTATACATAGAGTACAACACAGTCAAATAAAAAAAAAAGAATTGTTCTGGCCAGTAAGTCACAAATACAACATAATCCTAATATGCATCTTAATTACTACTGTATTTTTTTTTTTTACAAAATTTGATTTGGAAGATCAGAATGTAATTTTGATCATATTTTTGGCGATGAAAGGTTTGGTTTTTTTTTTCAAGACCCTTTGAAAAGAATGGTGTACACAATGTGTGTGGGTCCCATATCGAATGCATTACACTCTCAGCAGAAATTTACTCAAGTCACAAGATATCAAAAGACTTGTGCAGGAAATTTAACTACTTCAAATCACGAAATACAAGGTAATATTAATAAAAAACATGGCAGTGAAAAGTATAATTTAAAAAAAATAAAATTTCATAAAAACAAACTTTTTAACATGTTACCTGTATATCAGAAGTACAACTATAATAGTCCAATAAAATGAATACTGTAAAAAACTTTATTTTAGCTGGAATTAATTTTCGCTTGAAAAGACATTTTGGGTGTTTTGTATGAATTTATTTTCACTAATTTTTGACAAGTTGAATGTAAAATATAGGAAAAAAGGTATATTTGCTGGTTTTGATTTCTACTGAATCATTCCTTCAGCGAAAATTAATTCTGAGTGAAAATAAAGTATTCTACAATAATTATATATTATTGCTACCTTGTATTTACCAGGAATCGATCTAATAATATATAAAAGACCTAACATCAACTTTCTTTGTTTTGATTTATGGTGTATGCTATATCACAATATATCAATGAAGTATGAATCTTTTCAAAATGTTTTGTGGTTACTATAAGTACTAATTATTCAAACCAATATTACACAATGTGAAATGATTTAACCAAAAATAGTTGGGAATTGTTTTTCTAGGCCAGGGAGCTAAAAAGTTTTGTTAGATTTAGTTTTGAAACATCAAAAGTACCTATGAATATTTTTGACTTTTGAAATTTCAATGTTGTACAAAAGAGTGTACAACTGATATATACTGGTATTTTCATTTTTGATTCTTTCTGAATAACCCAACAACCAGAGATGGTGCAATACCAATTGGTTATATTGTGAGAGTATCAGTTGTGTACAACATATATGTTGTAATCCATGAATGAGTGGGTATGGCAAAATATGATCGTTTGGTTATATCATTCAGCTACTGCATTCTTGTTGTACCATAAAAACTGTAATAGAAGCCAAACCAATTATTTTTGAACAATTGAGAACCAAAAATGTGTAGATGTCCTTTTTAGAAGCCCCATCCCCTCATTGCAATGTACCATTTTAATGGCTTCTAATACAGATTTTACAGTATGACAGTGGCATAACTGTGGTCCATAGGGTCCCACTGGAAAGTAGCAAGTCGTGAAATTCAACGAATATAAATCGAGCATAAAAACTAAATTATTAAGGAAAGAATCCTATATTCTGTTTGGCAATGGTCTCGCATAAATGAAAACATGAATCAAAACACAAAGTCAGGAACTCAGTTTCTCATTGGATGAAGCTGTGGTGGTAAAACTGGTAACTGTATATGAGGCTGAAGATGATGCTGTTGCTGGTGGTGTTGCTGCTGTTGCTGCTGCTGGTGATGTTGATGCTGAAGTTGCTGCTGGAGTTGTTGGTGATGGCCATGCTGTGGGTGTTGAGGAAGGTGTTGTTGTTGCATTAGTTGTGGATGATGTTGTTGTAAGTGAGGGGGAGGTGGTAGATGCTGTGTTTGCGGCTGCTGTTGCTGTTGCTGTTTTTTCTCCTCTATCAAATCTTGTTCACACAAGTTACAAATCCAGCTTCCTGTTGATGAAAAAAGATGGGTTAATGTATCTTATTCTGTGTTAATACTGTGATTTCTAAAATAGCCAGGATTGATGAGAACGCCAAAATCAGAAGCTATTACAAACAAGTACTAGTCACTTTGTCAGCACCAATATATTGTCCAATATACCACCATCTATTCAGAATAGAATTTCTAAAGTGTAGGAAAATGACAAAGCGATAAATAGATACTGATAATCTTTTACAAATTTGTTATTCAGGAAGTCACAAGGAACGTTAATTTTGTTCCTGCAAAGTGCAAAACTCAATTTAAAAATGAACATGTTTACTGAACTTACCTTCTGGAGGATGCGACATGGGAGGATTCAGGCAGTACATATGATATCCACGATCACAATCATCACAAAAAAGCAGTTGATCCTGAAAATTAACCATTATTATAGGTACATGCATTATCAAACCAAAATAAATACAACTAAAATGTGAAAGTTAGAGATGGCTTACAAAAATACTTGATCTCTCTGATGCTGGGCAAAATACTCACTTAGGAAAGAAATGTTTGGATACAAGTATCGGTAATTTCTCTTCAAAACTCAATACGTTGTATTTTGGATTAGTTCAAAACTTATGAATTATATTGTCCAAATACTGTATTTTCAAGGTTTTTATTAATTATTTTAAATATAGAATTATACTCACATCATTATCTGAGGTACCACATAAGTGACATGATTTACATTCTATACACTGCCAACGGTATTTTTTAACATTTGATGTCATTTTAGTGGTGAACTGGAGGCAAGATGGGTGACCTGCATGACAAAAAATGTTTAAAAGGAAGTTATGCACTGTACTATAATTAATAGGTGGATAATTAGACTGAGTAAATATATGACAGAACAAATTATGGATATCACATTCTCACTGTATTCACTATTTAGAAACTAAATTCAAATTATAGAAAACATGCATATGTTCAATACTGATTAAAACATGTAGCCAATAGCAAACAAGTGAGAATTGTTAGCAATAATCTCAACTAGTGTAGTTGTTTTTTTCGAACTTTAGCTGTATTCACCGGCTTTTCAATTGGCGTTCCACAGCAGCTGGCACAGAGCCTGTAGAAATACATGACACCCTGGTGCACATCTAAGCAGCATAGAACATTCTGTGATGTACATGTAGCGCTCCACCCTAGGATATTACTAATACGAAACATATTTTGGCAGATTTATTTGACGGATTTAAAAACAGGGTTTGATACAAAATTAGTAAAATGTTGCACCCAAATATTATTTATACCCACCTGATCTACCACAGTCGGAGCATGAAATCAATTCTTCAGAAACACCAGTCTTTTTGTTTTCAGAGGCATCCCCAAGGCAGAAGTCACAGTAATTGTTTGGAGCAGCAATACCTGAGGAATTAGCAGGTGTACTTGTTGTGGTGGGAGGCGGTACTGTAAACAATGAAATTGTCTAGTTATAATATAAGAATGATATTCTGTTAGAGGAAAATTACTACATGTACATTACTGTGAAATATTGCCACAATTAGAAAATTATAACATCACTATAACAAATACTGGACACTAACAGACATGTATACCATCAATTACAGAAAGTAAACAAGTAATGAATGCCAACAATCACAGAAAGTAAACAAGTAATGAATACCAACAATCACAGAAAGTAAACAAGTAATGAATGCCAACAATCACAGAAAGTAAACAAGTAATGAATACCAACAATCACAGAAAGTAAACAAGTAATGAATACCAACAATCACAGAAAGTAAACAAGTAATGAATACCAATAATCACAGAAAGTAAACAAGTAATGAATACCAACAATCACAGAAAATAAACAAGTAATGAATACCAACAATCACAGAAAGTAAACAAGTAATGAATACCAACAATCACAGAAAATAAACAAGTAATGAATACCAATAATCACAGAAAGTAAACAAGTAATGAATACCAACAATTATTTGAAAATAAACAAGTAATGAATACCAACAATCACAGAAAGTAAACAAGTAATGAATACCAACAATCACAGAAAGTAAACAAGTAATGAATACCAACAATCACAGAAAGTAAACAAGTAATGAATACCAACAATCACAGAAAGTAAACAAGTAATGAATACCAACAATCACAGAAAGTAAACAAGTAATGAATACCAACAATCACAGAAAGTAAACAAGTAATGAATACCAACAATCACAGAAAGTAAACAAGTAATGAATACCAACAATTATTTGAAAATAAACAAG